TTTATATTATTATTTGTAAGCCCTCCAGGTCAACAGTTTTATTAAAGTACTAGGTCTGAACTAGAATTGAAATAGAACTGAACTAAACTAGAAGTCAAATATAGCTAAATTAAAAGCTACTCAAGTAGTACTGAACTAGAACTAAACTAATTTCTGTCGGGTGTTATACTATAAAATTCCAGTTATAATTCTTTTGTAACTACACATCAATACATGTTTTATATATATATCTGAATTACATTGATTTTATTTTTGAATACATGATCGATTTAACATAAATATTGAATTATATAATTAATAATAAATGAAACATTTCTACGAAAATTAAATTGGCTTTAAAGACTATTTTAAATTTAATTCTTTCAATAGTATATTTCCTCTGTTGATATATAGATACATCAAATTTAAAACAAGTCCATATAAATCTTTCTTCTATAAACAACAGAGAAAATATTCACATTTCCTTTTTGTTTTTGTTGGAAAACTACCTTTAAAAATGAATTATTTTGTATTATAATTAATATATGTTTGTGTATATATAATCCCAATAAAGGACGTTCGCTAGCAAACGTACGAGTTTGAGTGTGTGTGGGTGTGTGTAAGTTAAGTAATTGTACAACAATAACATTAGGCAGTTTTCTTATTATCACGCTTCTCCGATTGCCCATTACATTGATGATGCGCTGTCGAAGATGTGTTCAAACGTAGATTCTTTTGTAAAACATGGGCATCAGCAGGTTCGATGCGTTTGTAGTAATGTTCTTTGGTTTCCACAATTTCAAAACCAAATTTCTTATAAAATTCTATAGCACCTTCATTGTTAACTTGGACATGCCTTTAAATTAAAAAAAAAACTATTAGTTTACACACAGTTCAATACATTCCATAGAAATATAGAAACTTACAAAAAAATACTATCAAAGTTACCATCCTTTTCTACATAGTTCAATATATGCTGGAACATGACGGTACCAATACCTAATCTACGATAGGGTGATAAACAACCCAAAGTCATGATATATAAACGTCTCTGGTTTTCTGAAGTATCAATGCGACAGCAGACGGCACCCACCACTATGTCATTGTAATAAGCCAGTTTGGCTAATTCACCGGCTTCCAAAACATCTACATAGAATTTGTCATTATAGGAGACGGGAAAAACTACTGTATTTAGTTTTTTCAATTGTTTTATATTGTGGGGAGTAACATCGCCCAATTCGATACTGGCTCTGGTGGTTTGTGGTGGATCAGCGCAAGAGAAAATTTGTAGGTTAGTTTACAAACAAAAATCAAATCAATTTTAAACAAACTCACCTGGTCATTTTATGTTGTTTTGTTTATGAGAAATAATGTATAGCAAATGTAATTTAAGAATTACTTTAATTAAGAAATAGATTTTTTAAGGATTTCCTATAAATGTTGGCTACAAATGTATTGGCCGTCTTGAAAATGAGGAAATTTTTGTTTGATAATGTTGTTTTTTTTTGCTCGCTACCGACCAGAGCCCTGCGCCGGCAAATATTAAAGACGTCGGTGGCGGCTCACACTTAAATTTTCGGCGGTAAGTTTTAAGCTGTGTTTTTAAATTTTCAACGAAAAAATAAGGAACGAAATTGGTTTTACGTTTTTGTAACGTAAAAATATGTTAGTGATAACAAAAGAGCTTTATATTTCCATATATGTATGTATTTTTGATTTTTAGAAAATGGATTCGTTCTTAAACGAAAGAAAACGTCAAAAATAGACTTTAGCTAAAACAGGTTTTCTAGCGATTTATTGTAATAAATTAAATATTGTTGCCAGATTTGTGTACACAATAGAAATTCGCAATTCTTTAAATATTAAATTTCAAAAACAGAAAAGATTTTGAGAATGAAATATTTTACAGTTTTGTTTAGCTATATATGTATATATAAAGTTCTTACGTTACTAACTGATTCATCATTGCACAGTCTAAGCGGTTGAAGGAAGCTATTTTTTTTTCTTTATTATATTAAATAATTAATTTAATATTTTTTAACTTAACATTTATTAAGCGTTTTTTTTTTTGTCAAAAAAAAAAAAAAAAAAAAAAAATAAGTAACCTTCACTGTTTTCTACTATCAACAATATGGCAACTCAAATTTTAGCGGTAAATTATCAATCAGCTGTGCGTTTAAAATTGTAAATTGCAAATTTTTCACTGTCTTGAAATATTTCGCGAAAAAAATGATAATAAATTTTAATATTGGCCTATTGGGTCATGTTGATTCTGGTAAAACTTCATTGGCCAAAGTTCTCAGTTCCATCTCAAGTACTGCAGCATTCGATAAAAATCCCCAATCAAAAGAGAGAGGCATAACACTAGACTTGGGTTTCAGTGCTTTGCAGTTAGAAGCACCGGAACACATAAAGCAAGTTGATCCCACCATACAACAACTACAATTTACTTTTGTAGATTGTCCTGGACATGCTAGCTTAATACGCACAATTATAGGAGGTATTTATTTATAAAATTGTAAAAATTTTAGAAGAAACAAAAATTTTTTCTTTTATACATATTTTAGGCGCCCAAATTATAGATCTAATGATTTTAGTTATTGACGCCCAAAAAGGCATACAAACTCAAACTGCTGAATGTATAGTTATAGGTGAACTTTTGCAACGCAAACTTATAGTGGTAGTTAATAAAGTGGATTTATTGGAGGCGACTCAAAAAGTGGCACTACTTAAGAAATTAGAAACTAAACTACGTAAGACTTTAGCAGCTACCCGTTTTGGTGACAGTTTTCCTTTGTTTGCTGTTTCAGCTTTAAATGGTGAGGGCATTAAAGATTTATTGGAGGGTATTAAATCGAATGCTTTTTTGCCACAACGTGATGTGGAGAAACCTTTACTTATGTATGTTGATCATTGTTTTTCGATTAAGGGACAAGGTGAGTGTTATTTATTTAATTTTTCACTTTCATTTCATTAAATTAAACATATTTTACTGATCATAATGGAAAGATTTTAAATAAATAGGTATAAATGCATTAGATCGACTGAAAGCAAAAGGAAACTTTAGAAAATTTTATAAAAGTACCTCATGTTTGGACTATTTTATTCGACTTATCTATAGTGTAGTCTATAGTAATGTATTCTAGTCTGATCTACCGTTTAGTCTATGGAGTATAGTAAAGTTAATACCCTAGTCTATTGTGTAGTGTATTGTCTAGTTTATAGTCTTTATTTAGGACTATATCCTATTCTAAACAGTAGGCTGTAACATATATGTCTATAGAGTGGAATTTAATCCGGACCATATGAAAAAATTTGTGATTGTTATTTTGCATTAAAATTTTATAACAATAAACAAGTGGAAATTAAACCAAAAAATCATTATCATCATTGTCACCAAAACATAAATATAATACAAAAGGGTCACTTAAAATATCGTTATTTAAATAGGCACCATATGTACTGGTACCATAGTGCAGGGAAGTGTTAATGTCAACGACAACATCGAGTTACCTTTGATAAAAGAACAACGAAAAATAAAATCAATGCAAATGTTTCGACAGCCGGTACAAAATGCTCAAATGGGCGATCGTGTTGGAGTGTGTGTAACGCAATTTAATGCAAAACTTATGGAACGAGGTGTTATATGCCAAATAGGCTATTTGCAACCAATATATGCAGCTGTTATACAACTGCAACGCATACAATACTATAAACTTGCCGTTAAATCGAAAACGAAATTACACATAAGTGTGGGACATGAAACGGTTATGGCAAATCTAACCTTATTTAAAGATAATGACTTGGAAATGTCTTTCAATCCGCTTAAGGAATATGAATACATAGAAGAGTTGGAGGCTAAACAACACAATAATGACAACACTGTCGTGTGGGCTCTTTTGGAATTTGAAAAGCCCATACTAACTGCTGCAGATTCTATACTAATTGCCTCAAAATTAGATTTAGATATTCACACCAATTCCTGCCGTTTGGCTTTCTGGGGCAAAATACAATGGCATACTACCTCGCAGCATTATGTAAAAGAACAACTAAAACTATGGAAAATTTATAAAAATAAACAGAAACAAGGCACAGTTCAGCGTTTAGTTAATGCACACGAGTTGATTGTACAAAATCTATTTAAAAAGGAATCTAATCGTCAGTTGTATATAGGAAAACGAATAGAACTTACTACAGGAGAACAAGGGCAGATAGAAGGCACTTTTGGTCAAACCTCGAAAGTGAAAATCTCATTCGCTGATCCTCTTAAGGAAACAACTGTGGCTGTGATAAAGCAGGGACGTTTAAGTGATGTCGGTGTTATACTTAAGTTTAAGAAATATATTTTTAATAAAGATTTTGGTATAATACAGTAAAATTTATTGGTTTGTTTGAATGGTTGGTTTCCTTAAAAAAAATAAAATTTTTTAATTTTTTCAGAAGTAAACTTTTGCTCAACAATCTCTTGTTCGGTACGATATTGTTCCACTTACATCCAAAGACCAGTCAGAATCCTTAGTACTACATCCTACATCTATCTAGTCCAATATCTAGGCTACATAGGTAATACATGTGTATCAGCTATGTAGACACCGGCACCCATGCCAGTATCCATCTTAGACCCGTCGGGAAATACTGCATACACCTCTAACAATTTGTCGGATCCAAACCAATTGCCTCTATCGTAGGCGTAACCCCTATGACCTAATTTCGCTTGGTTTTGCTGTATCTCTTATAGTTTTCCAGAAAAACGGACTTTTATGTTTTCACTCAAAAATTCGAATTTTAGTATGAAATAAAAGTGATCACAGATTTCACTTGTTTTTGCTGTATCTCTTATAGTTTTCGAGAAAAACGGACTTTTATGTTTTCACTCAAAAATTCGAATTTTAGTAGGAAATAAAAGTGATCACAGATTTCACTTGTTTTTGCTGTATATCTTATAGTTTTAGAGAAAAACGGACTTTTATGTTTTCGAATTTTAGTAGGAAATAAAAGTGATCACAGATTTCACTTGTTTTTGCTGTATCTCTTATAGTTTTCGAGAAAACGGACTTTTATGTTTTCGAATTTTAGTAGGAAATAAAAGTGTTCACAGATTTCACTTGTTTTTGCTGTATCACTTATAGTTTTCCAGAAAAACAGACTTTTAAAAGAAGTGATCACAGATTTCACTTGTTTTTGCTGTATCTCTTATAGTTTTCAAGAAAAACGGACTTTTATGTTTTCACTCAAAAATTCGAATTTTAGTAGGAAATAAAAATGATCACAGATTTCACTTGTTTTTTGCTGTATCTCTTATAGTTTTCGAGAAAAACGGACTTTTATGTTTTCACTCAAAAATTCGAATTTTAGTAAGAAATAAAAGTGATCACAGATTTCACTTGTTTTTGCTGTATCCCTTATAGTTTTCGAGAAAAACGGACTTTTATGTTTTCACTCAAGGATTTAAATTTTAGTATGAAATAAAAGTGATCACAGATTTCACTTGTTTTTGCTGTATCTCTTATAGTTTTCGAAAAAAACGGACCTTTATGTTTTCACTCAAAAATTCGAAGAAATAAAAGTGATCACAGATTTCACTTGTTTTTGCTGTATCTCTTATAGTTTTCAAGAAAAACGGACTTTTATCTTTTCACTCAAAAATTCGAATTTTAGTAGGAAATAAAAATGATCACAGATTTCACTTTTTTTGCCGTATCTCTTATAGTTTTCGAGAAAAACGGACTTTTATGTTTTCACTCAAGAATTTAAATTTTAGTATGAAATAAAAGTGATCACAGATTTCACTTTTTTTGCTGTATCTCTTATAGTTTTCGAGAAAAACGGACTTTTATGTTTTCACTCAAAAATTCGAATTTTAGTATGAAATAAAAGTGATCACAGATTTCACTTGTTTTTGCTGTATCTCTTATAGTTTTCGAGAAAAACGGACTTTTATGTTTTCACTCAAAAATTCGAATTTTAGTATGAAATAAAAGTGATCACAGATTTCACTTGTTTTTGCCGTATCTCTTATAGTTTTCGAGAAAAACGGACTTTTATGTTTTCACTCAAGAATTTAAATTTTGTATGAAATAAAAGTGATCACAGATTTCACTTGTTTTTGCTGTATCTCTTATAGTTTTCGAGAAAAACGGACTTTTATGTTTTCACTCAAAAATTCGAATTTTAGTATGAAATAAAAGTGATCACAGATTTCACTTGTTTTTGCCGTATCTCTTATAGTTTTCGGAAAAAACGGACCTTTATGTTTTTACTCAAAAATTCGAAGAAATAAATGTGATCACAGATTTCACTTGTTTTTGCTGTATCTCTTATAGTTTTCAAGAAAAACGGACTTTTATGTTTTCACTTAAAAATTCGAATTTTAGTAGGAAATAAAAATGATCACAGATTTCACTTGCTTTTGCTGTATCTCTTATAGTTTTCGAGAAAAACGAACTTTTATATTTTCACTCAAAAAATCGAATTTTAGTATGAAATAAAAGTGATCACAGATTTCACTTGTTTTTGCCGTATCTCTTATAGTTTTCGAGAAAAACGGAATTTTATGTTTTCACTCAAGAAGTCAAATTTTAGTATGAAATAAAAGTGATCACAGATTTTACTTGTTTTTGCTGTATCTCTTATAGTTTTCGAAAAAAACGGACTTTTATGTTTTCACTCAAAAATTCGAAGAAATAAAAGTGATCACAGATTTCACTTATTTTTGCTGTATCTCTTATAGTTTTCAAGAAAAACGCACTTTTATGTTTTCATTCAAAAATTCGAATTTTAGTAGGAAATAAAAATGATCACAGATTTCACTTGTTTTTGCTGTATCTCTTATAGTTTTCGAGAAAAACGGACTTTTATGTTTTCACTCAAAAATTCGAATTTTAGTAAGAAATAAAAGTGATCACAGATTTCACTTGTTTTTGCTGTATCTCTTATAGTTTTCGAAAAAACCGGACTTTTATGTTTTCACTCAAAAATTCGAATTTTAGTAGGAAATAAAAGTGATCACAGATTTCACTTGTTTTTGCTGTATCTCTTATAGTTTTCGAGAAAAACGGACTTTTATGTTTTCACTCAAAAATTCAAATTTTAGTAGGAAATAAAAGTGATCACAGATTTCACTTGTTTTTGCTGTATCTCTTATAGTTTTCGAAAAAAATGGACTTTTATGTTTTCACTCAAAAATTCAAATTTTAGTAAGAAATAAAAGTGATCACAGATTTCACTTGTTTTTGCTGTATCTCTTATAGTTTTCTGTATCTCTTATAGTTTTCAAGAAAAACGGACTTTTATGTTTTCACTCAAAATTCGAATTTTAGTAGGAAATAAAAGTGATCACAGATTTCACTTGTTTTTGCTGTATCGAGAAAAACGGACTTTTATGTTTTCACTCAAAAATTCGAATTTTAGTAAGAAATAAAAGTGATCACAGATTTCACTTGTTTTTGCTGTATCCCTTATAGTTTTCGAGAAAAACCGACTTTTATGTTTTCGCTCAAGAATTTAAATTTTAGTATGAAATAAAAGTGATCACAGATTTCACTTGTTTTTGCTGTATCTCTTATAGTTTTTAAGAAAAACGGACTTTTATGTTTTCACTCAAAAATTCGAATTTTAGCAGGAAATAAAAATGATCACAGATTTCACTTGTTTTTGCTGTATCTCTTATAGTTTTCAAGAAAAACAGACTTTTATGTTTTCACTCAAAAATTCGAATTTTAGTAGGAAATAAAAATGATCACAGATTTCACTTGTTTTTGCTGTATCTCTTATAGTTTTCGAGAAAAACGGACTTTTATGTTTTCACTCAAAAATTCGAATTTTAGTAAGAAATAAAAGTGATCACAGATTTCACTTGTTTTTGCTGTATCCCTTATAGTTTTCGAGAAAAACGGACTTTTATGTTTTCACTCAAGATTTAAATTTTAGTATGAAATAAAAGTGATCACAGATTTCACTTGTTTTTGTTGTATCTCTTATAGTTTTCGAAAAAACGGACTTTTATGTTTTCACTCAAAAATTCGAATTTTAGTAGGAAATAAAAGTGATCACAGATTTCACTTGTTTTTGCTGTATCTCTTATAGTTTTCGAGAAAAACGGACTTTTATGTTTTCACTCAAAAATTCGAATTTTAGTAGGAAATAAAAATGATCACAGATTTCACTTGTTTTTTGCTGTATCTCTTATAGTTTTCGAGAAAAACGGACTTTTATGTTTTCACTCAAAAATTCGAATTTTAGTAAGAAATAAAAGTGATCACAGATTTCACTTGTTTTTGCTGTATCCCTTATAGTTTTCGAGAAAAACGGACTTTTATGTTTTCACTCAAGGATTTAAATTTTAGTATGAAATAAAAGTGATCACAGATTTCACTTGTTTTTGCTGTATCTCTTATAGTTTTCGAAAAAAACGGACCTTTATGTTTTCACTCAAAAATTCGAAGAAATAAAAGTGATCACAGATTTCACTTGTTTTTGCTGTATCTCTTATAGTTTTCAAGAAAAACGGACTTTTATCTTTTCACTCAAAAATTCGAATTTTAGTAGGAAATAAAAATGATCACAGATTTCACTTTTTTTGCCGTATCTCTTATAGTTTTCGAGAAAAACGGACTTTTATGTTTTCACTCAAGAATTTAAATTTTAGTATGAAATAAAAGTGATCACAGATTTCACTTTTTTTGCTGTATCTCTTATAGTTTTCGAGAAAAACGGACTTTTATGTTTTCACTCAAAAATTCGAATTTTAGTATGAAATAAAAGTGATCACAGATTTCACTTGTTTTTGCTGTATCTCTTATAGTTTTCGAGAAAAACGGACTTTTATGTTTTCACTCAAAAATTCGAATTTTAGTATGAAATAAAAGTGATCACAGATTTCACTTGTTTTTGCCGTATCTCTTATAGTTTTCGAGAAAAACGGACTTTTATGTTTTCACTCAAGAATTTAAATTTTGTATGAAATAAAAGTGATCACAGATTTCACTTGTTTTTGCTGTATCTCTTATAGTTTTCGAGAAAAACGGACTTTTATGTTTTCACTCAAAAATTCGAATTTTAGTATGAAATAAAAGTGATCACAGATTTCACTTGTTTTTGCCGTATCTCTTATAGTTTTCGGAAAAAACGGACCTTTATGTTTTTACTCAAAAATTCGAAGAAATAAATGTGATCACAGATTTCACTTGTTTTTGCTGTATCTCTTATAGTTTTCAAGAAAAACGGACTTTTATGTTTTCACTTAAAAATTCGAATTTTAGTAGGAAATAAAAATGATCACAGATTTCACTTGCTTTTGCTGTATCTCTTATAGTTTTCGAGAAAAACGAACTTTTATATTTTCACTCAAAAAATCGAATTTTAGTATGAAATAAAAGT